AATTTCTCAGGGGTGAGAGCTAAAAGATTGAACGTGACCAATGCTTTTCATTCAGCTCTAGTCGACGCATTGGTTGATGATTTGGAAAATTTGGGACATACCATTGAGTTCAAAGAGCCAACGATCAAACTCGAGAGAGCAACCGAGTATGAGTCCACCAATCCGCTAAATGCGACCTATTTCTCGGAACATATGAGAAAGCCAGTCTTCTTTGCACATGCAGTCAAGAGACTTTCAGAAAGATTCCCTGCTGCAGTTTGGTTAGAGGCCGGGTCCAACTCGACTGTCACAACCATGGCAAGCCGAGCTTTAGGAACATCGAATACCCACTTCCAGCCGGTCAATATTACTAGCGAGGGCTCATTCCAATTCCTTTCTGATGCGACTATCAACCTCTGGAAGAATGGTCAAAATGTGACCTTCTGGGCCCATCACCGCATACAAACACCCGCTTACACTCCGGTCCTGCTGCCTCCGTACCAGTTCGAGAAATCAAAACACTGGATGGATCTGAGAGTGCCTCCAAAGCTTGAGGACTCCGGACATCGAGAGGAGCAGCTAGTGGCTATAGAGGCACCAAAGGGGTTGACAACTTTTGTTGGATACCAAGATGCATCCCGGCGCTCAGTACGATTCGGTGTCAATGTCACATCAGACAAGTATATTCGCCTGCTTTCTGGCCACATCATGGCAAATGAAGCGGCTGTCTGTCCTGGAATGTTCCAGGTCGAGATAGTACTTGATGCATTGACGAGTCTTCGACCAGACTTCCAGAACCATAGCTTTATCCCAGAGTTATGTGGCCTCAGACATTACCACCCTCTTGTGAAGGATGAATCCCGGGCTGTTTGGATAGAAGCAGACTCTTCAGACGCGGAGGGACTGATCTGGAGTTGGAAGTTAACCGCGACCGATGTTAAAGGCACCGGCTCTGTCACCCACACTTCAGGAACGATCATCTTTCAGCCGGCAGACAGCGTGCAGGTTAAGTCTGAGCTTGAGAAACTGACACGACTGATCGGTCGAAAGCGTTGTCTGCAACTTCTGGACAGCAATCTTGCTGATGATGTTCTGCAAGGCCGCAACATCTACCGCGCCTTTTCCGAGGTAATTGATTATAAAGAGGTCTATCGTCATGTCACCAAGATCGCCGGGAGAGACAATGAGTCGGCGGGTAGGGTCATCAAGCCGTATTCAAATGAAGATTGCCTAGATACAGTTTTAACCGACTGTTTCTGCCAAGTGGCAGGCATATTCGTGAATCTCATGACCACTCAGGTTGATCTGTCAGAAAGAGGAATTTTCATCTGCGATGGTATCGATCGGTGGTTGCGAGCACCTGAAGCGATTTCAAACGACAACCCTTCGGATGTTTACGAAATATTTGCTTTGCACCATCCTGAATCAGAATCAAAGTATCTCAGTGATGTATTTGCATTTGATGCTCGTGATGGGTCGCTCGTCGAAGTGGCTCTCGGTATCAGCTACCAGAAGGTCCCCATCTCCGGTATTCGCAAGGTCTTGACAAGGGCAGGTGGGCTTCAGCCTCAGGTGCTGCCATCCTCTGTTTCAAAGGTCAATGTTCCGCCGGCAAACTTCCTTCCAGTTGCACCTCCGCCGTTACTCAATGGCTCGGCTGCCAAGGTGACCGTCACATCCACACCGAAGAAGTTGCCAAAGACACCCAGTGTAGATATAACCGGTGTTATGCGGGACATCATCTGCAACCTTTCTGGTCTTGAGCCAGAAGAAGTCAAGGATGATTCTGATTTGGTTGAGATCGGTATCGATTCTTTGATGAGCATGGAACTGGGCCGAGAAATTGATTTGGCTTTCAAGACCACCATCGACGTTAATCAGCTTATTGACGTGACCGACTTCCGCAGTTTGATTGAGACTTTGGGAAGGATCATGGGCCTTGATGACACAGATGGTGACTCTGGATTCGTCGAAGATGACAGAAATGACGAGGCTGTCACAAATGGAAACGGAAATCATTCTATCGCACCTAATGGGAATCGTATTTCGTCTCCTAGTCCCCAGGGTCTCTCACTTCCAGAATCCACGGTCCTTGAATGTTTCCGTATTGCAAAGGAGGCTACGGATGACTTCATGGTGAATGGTCAGCTTGGAACATATTATACCGAAGTCATGCCAAGATCAACCAAGCTCTGTGTTGCTCACATTGTCAATGCTTTTGAACAGCTTGGGTGTCCGATCCGCAACGCAGTTGCGGGCCAGAAACTTGAGCGTGTTCCCTACTTACCAAAGCATGAGCGCTTCATGAATTTGATCTATGGGCTTCTCGAAGAAGATGGTTTGATTGAAATAAGTGGATCCGACATCGTGCGAACATCTGTGCCTGTCGCAGCGAAATCGGTAGATGACATGCTAGAGGAATTATTGCGTGACGAGCCCGTCCATGCGGCCGAGCATAAACTCACGGGGATGATCGGTCCAAAATTTGCAGATTGCCTCATCGGCAAAGAAGATGGGCTCCAGATGATCTTTGGATCCCCAGAAGGAAAAGAAATTGTCACTGATGTATATGCGAAGTCTCCCATCAATTCAGTGTGGATCCAGCAGGCGGAATTCTTCCTCGAGCATCTTATCCAAAGGTTGCCGGTAACGGGCGAACCACTGCGCATTTTGGAAATGGGAGCTGGTACGGGCGGAACAACCGTCAAGATGATTTCTCTCTTGGAGAGCATAGGTGTCCCAGTCGAATACACGATGACGGATCTTTCCTCGTCACTCGTTGCTGCCGCTCGCAAACGATTCAAGAAGTACCCTTTCATGAAATTCAAAGTTGTGAACATCGAGTCGCCGCCAGATGCAGATCTATTGCACAGTCAGCACATCATTCTAGCCACCAATTGTGTCCATGCTACTCGCAATCTGGAAATATCAACAAGAAATATCCATCATATCTTACGCCCTGATGGATTTCTGCTCTTGCTCGAGATGACAGAACAAGTCCCTTGGGTTGACTTTATTTTCGGCTTGCTAGAAGGATGGTGGCTCTTCGAAGACGGTCGCCAACACGCGCTTCAACCTCCAGCTCACTGGAGGAAAATCCTCACATCAGTTGGATACGGTGCGGTTGATTGGACCGATGGTGCTAGACCAGAAACAAATCTTCAGCGATTGATCATTGCTCTTGCGTCCGGATCCAGGTATGATCCCGCGTCCCAATCACTTCAACCCTCGGCAACGTCCTCATTGACATATACTGCAGGACGTCAAGAGATCATTGATTCATACATTCATGAATATACCAAGGAATTCCACTCACTCTCTGTTTCCAATTTACAAATCCCCGTCCTACCCTCTCCCGCGGGTCACTGTGTGCTAGTCACTGGTGCAACAGGAAGCCTCGGCTCCCATGTCGTGGCCTATCTCGCTAGACTTCCTAATGTCCACAAGGTGGTCTGTCTGAATCGATGGAGTACTGTTCCAGCGACTGTACGTCAAGTTGAATCTTTCAAGCTTCGGGGTATCGCGCTCGATGAAAGGTCTCGCTCCAAGCTTGAGATTCTCGAAGTGGACACATCAAAGCCATCATTTGGGTTACCAGCGAAGACTTACCAGAAGCTTGTGAGCACGGCAACACATATTGTTCACAATGCATGGCCGATGAGCCTTACAAGGTCTATCCGAGGGTATGAGAGCCAGTTCAGTGTCATGCGGAACCTCATCAACCTTGCACGAGAAGTAGTATCAAGGCGACCTGCGCCATTCAAATTCAGCTTTCAGTTCATCTCATCAATCGGAATCGTGAGCTACCACCCTGTTCGGTACGGAGTAATCCGTGCACCGGAGGAGACAATGAGCGCAGATTCTGTTCTACCAGTCGGATATGCTGAAGCGAAGCTAGTGTGCGAACGCATGCTGGACGAGACGCTGCATCGCTATCCATCCCGATTCCGACCGATGGCAGTCAGAATTGCCCAAATCACTGGTACTGAAAGCAACGGATATTGGAATCCAGTCGAGCATTTCGCCTTTCTGGTCAAGTCGTCCCAGTTCCTCAAAGCCTTTCCAGATCTTGATGGTTCTCTCTCTTGGTGTCCTGTTGATGATGTTTCCGCGACACTGGGCGAATTGTTGATTTCCGATACAAAGCCTTATCCGATCTATCATATTGAGAATCCGTCAAGACAGCCTTGGCAAGATGTGGTAAAAGCTTTGACGGAGTTACTCGATATCCCACAAGAGGGTATAATTCCGTTCGACCAATGGCTTGAACGAGTCCGAAATTCATCGGCTTCGATCAACGAAAATCCAGCCAAACAGTTGGTGGAATTCTTCAGTCAGCATTTTATCCGAATGTCATGTGGAGGTTTGATATTGGACACTAGCAAAACAAAAAGGCACTCAGCAACTTTACGAGAAAGAGGACGTGTGGAGTTGAATTCAATTGTGAAATACATTTCTGCGTGGAAGACCATTGGATTTCTTGAATGAGACGATGCCGTTATATGATGATTAGAATGCTGGACAATGGAATTTTATTTGGTCCAACTTGAACTTGAACTTGAACTAGTAGTAAAACCTTGGGGCATCTGAAATGAACGCATTCCAACTTCTCATTTCCAACTACGTAGTAGGTAGTGAATATGAATAAATCGTATGATGCAAGATGCTCTGAGGCTTCAGGTTAGATGTATACTACCAGGCTTCCAGTTAACTATCTGGAATATCTTCCCAGATTATTAATTTGATAATTGAAGAAAGTAAGATACAAAAATCCTGAGACTGTACACATAGAATATCCCCAGGTGGGTTGTCCGAAGACTTCTCAAAAATTGCAGTCACGTTCTTGGAAACAGTGAACTATGTCGAATAATGAGACAGTATAGACGACCTTCAACAATTCCAAACTTCCATTATCAAGATATTTTGATGGTCCAAATCTTTTGCGGAATTCAGGCCAATTGAACCACCATCTTACCATATCGCCCTCGGTTCTTTATATCAAGAGCCCAATCAACCTCTGGCTATATCTTTGGGGTGAAGCGACTCAACGCCCGAATTTTTGCACCATAGAAATAGAATACAACTGGTATCGGAATCATTGCAATAGAAAGAAATCCGAGGAGTGACGTAGCCCAGTCGACTCCCAACCTATTATACATGTAAGTTCCAAACAGAGGGAACGCAGCGCCAACCTCGGAGATTGTTAGTAAGACTCTTTCTGTGAAAGAAGTGCACTTACCGCGCTTCTAATGAGAGTATTCGCTGATATAGCTGAATTGGCAACAATCAAATACACGTCGATCAAATAATTGAGGCCTTGCATCCAGATCATCAAAATCCCCATTCCGATCGGTGCACCAGCGATTGCTTGTGGCACCCATGAGATACTTGGGTTGGATGTCCATCCAAACCAAAATAACCCGATCGGCAGAAGAAAGGCGCCCACAATCATGGGAGGAAGACGATCTTCTGGCACGACAGAGCCATTGCGTACTTTTGGAGCGTACCACAGGCGTGTTGCGACAGTGACGACAAGGCAGCCCAGAAGAACCCCAACTAATATCCCCAGGAAAGGCAATGCTGCAACCCCCTCGTTATTCCAACCCCGGACTTGTCGAAAAGCGATAGGATATGCGACGAAGAATAGGTATAGGATTCCGTAAATAAGCGAGATATAGATGGTCATGCAGACAAGAATCGGCTCGAGGAAAAGCATTTGCATCGGTCGGAAAAGGTATTTGGTCAATATCTCGCTGAATGTCGGCGTCTTTTCGTCTAGACGAGAACGGTACGCCCAAATACCTGTCGACTTACGGAGACGGCTGGCACGACGCTGGAGGATAACAGGATGGTATGTCTCGGGTAAAACTAGAAAGGCAATTATGCCAAAAAATGACGCCGGTATCATGGTGATCCAGGCAGTCCATCGCCAACCCAGATGTGATTCGACAATGAAGCCACCACTGTTGAGTACAAATTAGCTCGAGTCCGGTTGTATTAATCCGCGGTATGATGATATTAACGTACACGATCGGTCCGAATATCGGTCCCACGAAGGTAGCTGCAGAAAACAAAGAGATTGCAATCGCGCGTTCCACAGGACCCCAAAAGTCTGCCAAAGCACCTGGTATAATCGCAAGGGCGGATGTGCCGAAAAATCCCAACAGGAAACGGGCAAGCATCAAGGTCTCAAGGTTCTCAGCAACAGCGACGGGGATTTGGAAGATGATGAATATTGCATATCCGATATAGAGAGGTCGCAATCGGCCATATAGCTCAGATAAGGGCCCCCAAATCTGTGGTCCTATCGCAAACCCCTTCGCGTCAGTGTTAGCATTTCGGCTCTGTTATTATTGCGGGGTTGACTTTTTGACACACCAGAACAGTGAGGCTTGTTCCCAGAGTTGTAACTTCAACTGAAACATGAAACTCTTGCGAGGTAACTCCAGAAGCAGCACTGAATACACTGCTAGAAAAGGTGACCCAGGTGGTCAATGTACTGAAAATGAAGGTGATCAGTGTTTTCTTCCAGAATGGATAGTTCATCGGTAGTCCAGGATCGTTAGGTCCATCCCATTCAACCAAATAAGGATCCACGACTTCCGACTTATCAGCAGCTGGCTGTTCTCGGGTAGCTTCCAAGTCTGTCCCAGACTTGCAAGTGTCGGTAGACATTTGCGCGTCAACTTCTTCCTTCGTCTTTGGGGGTGGGTTCGCGTCTCAATCGTGTTCGTAGAGTGGTTTCGGGAGATATGCACACGATTGAAGGTCTTTCAACATTTTGTCGAAATTGTGATAAAGAGTCATTTTTGTAACTATTTGTAAGGCACAACATGCCTGTACTTTACCTTGAACAATCTGTGTAGAACTATTTATCCGATGCTGGCGGTCAGTCGACCAACTGTTTCCCCGAGCCGAGCAAAAAGATTATCCGAGCCAATCAAACTGAGAGCGCGGGACCTTGAGCTGCACAGTAAATTCTCCTCTGAGGACTGTTTATGCCCTTGCTTACTACTCATTCATCAAATCCGTAGCATAACCAAGCCATAATGTGATCAATTCTGGAGGTTAGGTGGCGATGTCACTGGCAGTGCGTGACCAATGGCAATTTTTGAATCAGCGACGGGCAACTTTTAACTACTAGTACTAAGATTGCAGTACTTAGGTAGTTTTGAACACTGTATGCGATGCTTTCAAGTTTCGCTTATAATATACTATACTTCTTCTTCCTCGTCCATAGACTCGGATAGATAATTGTGATACCATGCATCCCTCCGAATTTATCAAGGTTTGCTCTACTAATACCAGTACTACTTTTCGCAAGCTAGGGTAGGGTCGACGATGGAAAGCTGTAGCTTTCTGGCTCCTATCTAACTATGACTATTGGATTTCTTAAACTCTCTCTCTATTTATTATTTTCTCACGTCAATTTTCTGGCTATTTTATGTTCCCGATCATAATATCTCTTCCCAATCTGACAAGTAGGATATATTCCCCTCTATTGCCGTGAAAAGTACATACGACCATAGGGTGTGGAGAACAGGGCTTCCCGTCCGCTCAGCCGTACTTAAGCCACATACTAAACGCAGTCAATAACCAAAGAGCCCTGGATCTTAAATTAGCGTCAGTTTCTGTGTTAGGGTGAGTGCGGGTGATATGGGTGAGAATTCTGGAGACTGGGATAAGAGAGGTGAGAACGGGGTGAGAGCGGGTGAGAACAGGGTGAGAGGGGTGAGAATATCCGCTGCGATGCGTTTGTATTTCCCTAATCTGTAATGGTAAATAATAAAAGCCCGAGGGTATAAGTCTAGTCTGCCATACCTAAATTATTTTTTACCTAGCTACTCGACCAAAGATGTCCCCAGAAGAAATCTAAAAGAAGCTAGACGAGAGGAAGGTATGTACTGTATTATATAGATTTATATATAAGTATTATAATATACGGGAATAAGTAGTCAATACTATCTGCTATAAGTAGCTCGCTCTAGCTATACTCTATAACTACAAAAACACAGTATTAAACTAGATACTGTAGGTAATTAAGATATTAACTCAGATTATTGAGGCTTATCAATACGTAACAGATAGAGACTTTCTTATAATAAAGCAACTAACGCTAACTTCTCCTAAGAGAAGCCCGATCCTATCCTACAGCTATTAAAATCCTTTACAGAAGATTATATTACTATAAGGAAAAAATTATCCTTACAGAAGTCTGTATATCTGAATTTTATTAATTTTATATTAAGGTAGGAGCAAGAAACTTCTCGCTCTCTACCAGGCTAAGTTAAGAAAGATATTCTCAATATAAGGCAGGTATAAACGATTATATAAGGTATTTACTGATAATTTTTAGTATATAAGGCAGGACTTAACTGTTAAATATAAGCTGATAATAAAGCTATAGGAATAATATATAGTTACAGCTAAGGATATAGACTACCTTCTTCGTGGCCTATTCAGGGATAATTAGTATAACTATAGATATAACCAGGCTCGGGTTCAAACTAGCAGCGCCCTCATAATTTTTGCTAGCTTAGGCTTAAGAGTAGGCGCTGTTGTAGAGTTAAGTAACTATTATAATACCAATAAGTACCTTTATTATAGGGTTTGTTTGGATCTTTACCCCCCCCCCCTCCCTTTCTAAACTGATAGAAAATTAATAGTACCTCACTTTTAATATAAAGTAGAGCTTGAAAGATAGTAAGCTAAAACATTGGATAATAATTAATCCTTAGTTCCTAAAAGGAAAGCATTATAAAGACGACGGATCTTTATAAGGTCCCTAACTCTTCTAATTTTTAATAACTAATCTAACATTTAAAGACCCAAGAATTAGTTTAGGGAAAACCCAATCCTCAGTTTTAACTTTATGTTCTAGGTTATAGTATATAGCGTCGCCGATGGTGCCTTTAAGAGACTCAGGACGGCAGAAGAAATTCTGGTAGTAAGACCTCTAAAAGGGAGGAAATCGTATATACTTAAATAGGATAAGGAGAAAAGTAAACTCTCTTTCTTTAGGATAATAACCCTGAATAGTCCCCTTCCTACAAGGGTATTGATATTCTTCTCTCTATAGTATAACTTTATAAGCTTAGCTTAGCAAGAGTACTTTAAAGACTAGCTATATATATATAGAATTTATACGAATGTTGTAAATTATATCGATCGTAAGTGCTTTTCTTTTAAAGTCTACTACCCCTTACTGATACTATTCAGACAAGGCTTCAGAAGCCACTTATAGCCAGGCCCTTAACCATCAGAATTATAATACCTATATTAAATACCAATCTGTACTAAAGTTATTAGATATTTAGGCCCTTATCTATAACTTAGAGCCAGATTATAAATGCCAAAATATAGAGCAAAGTATAGCTTATTATCGAGACCCTAATACCCTAATAAAACTAGATATAGCTTCTATCGAAGTATTTAGTCTCCATTTGTGTGTATGCCTCTCTCTGCTGGCTACCAGGGGTGGCAACAGTTGTCTCGACGTGGTAAGATATGGGTTTCGACAGTGAGTAGGTAGTGTGAAGGCGTGCTGATGGTGAAGGCGTGTTGAAGGTGAGGACGCGTTGATGGTAAGGGCTGGAGATGAGTGACGGTTGAGGATTGGTGATAATCATGATCGATGGACCAGTGAGTCAAAATGTTGATTGATTTGCGGCGCGGCGTACTGTAACTGCCGAGCGGTGAAGTGGCTGTCAACGGTGACAACCCATCGCCGTTATAGTGGGATCTTTGTTGGCTCACCGATGATGTAAACGATGATAGACGGTGAATCTTGATGCAATTCATCAACTAGAATCTGTCATTACAGCAGATCGCAATTTAATTATCTGTCGATAGTCTTTTTTGAAACAATCGACTATGGGCTTGGAGGCGCGTGACGGTGCAATCAACATTAATTAGCAATTCAAAAATGGTAAAGGGTACACCATGTACATCTACTGACGATAGGCTGTATCGGTATTTTCACTCGGGTCGCTCTTCTACGCGGCTCAAGCTTCGTCGCGTACTCTTTGGTGATACACAGCTCTTAGGTATTGTCGATAAATGATCGTCATGTGCGTAATATATATCCTCAGATGCGCACGTACATGGTAGCAGTAGAATTGGAAAAACCATCAGAATGTCAACAACTCAAGCCCGTTCTTCTGGCCCTCTTTTCGAATATCATATTCCATTGGCATAACCAAATGAGAGACTCTTGTGGAGTTCAAAGGGGTAATGTAGCTAAGTACTGGTCGAGACTAACGGTGGCTATGATATTCTAAGAAGATGCTGGATATGGTGAGGCAAATCTGGCGCCGCCAGCGCTCTGCTCGCGTGGTCTAGTCGAACATGCCACGTTCTCCTTAACGAATCGGGTTCGACTCCCGCAGGGTGCATTTGAATGACCATTTATCGCGCTCATGCATCGTGTTCATAACCCGCTTGTTTCCGGTTCGTCTCGCGTGTTTTTTCTCGTGGGCCTCGTGTTTTCTGTCGTCCCATGACACCGACCTAGGTCATCACCCGGCGGTATACTACAGGCGAAATGGCCGTACAATGACGCGCCGCAGCGTCTCACATCGAGCACATGTGACAGGCCCACAACACAGAAAGAACATCACAGCTACGTCCGAGGTCAATAAGTACGACTTTTCTACCAGTTATCACAAACCCACCTGGCATCCTTCGAGTAATAATTGAGCAGTTGCAACCACTGCGGCAGTCGAACGACCGTAATTCACGATGCTCGTCCGCTGGTGAATTCGTGCCGTTCGGTGGTGACCCGGGGCACAAGAATGCCAAAATTGCGGTTTATTGCCAGGAACGAAACAACCTCGAGTATGGCAGAGTGACTCCCTTAGCTCGCACTTGTCGGCCCTACAATGCACTCCCGCCCTGCTCCAGGTCGATTCCTGTTTTCGGCCATGCAACAACCTTCTATCCGCAGCAATTTTCCAGCGAACTCAGACATGATATGGCTTGCGGCCACGTTTGAAAGGGAAAAGTTATCTTCATATCAGCGGTTTGGCAAAAAGGTCAATTGATTACCCCAAGCATGCAGTTATGAGAACTTGTTACCAGCTTCGTTCGCAAAGTGGGCCATGACCGCAGCCAGGGGTATCGCTTTCTGCATTGAGAGCAACTCACCATGCTTGTGGTATAGGTGAGCTTCCCTAATACCAGCCCACAAATAGAACCCCGATTGGACCCGCGGGAGCGGCCGAACCACGGGCTTCTCACTACCTCTCCATATCAGCATGATTTCCAGGCGATGAGGGTGGTCGAGTCTCACTTCGGTGTAGTCTGGCATCGGCATAGGCAGACGTGACACGAGGTAGCCGTCTCGCCTCATTTACACGTCAGAGGTCCCGGAATTGCTCCGTACAACAGGAATGAGTGGGCTATATCTGTCAATGCGTATCCCTCGGCAAACTTCCAGCTGTGTCAGTGAAGGACATGACTGGAGAAGATAGTCATGGTATGTTGTTCTGAGGAGGTTAGGGACTGACCTGAAGATTACTGCTCTCGTGGCGAGAGGTCCGGGGTAGCTCCAATGCTGGGGCCTACAATGTCGCTTGCCCAGCTGCAACTAGGGCCTGACGGAGCTGAGCCTCATACTGCGACCAAAAGCTCAACTCATTCAAGATTGATGCTTTTCTTTGAGAAACCGTGCGTAGTCTTTCTCGGTAATCGTTGATTCTCGGTTTTTCTTCACTGTCGCTGGATGCTTTCAGTCGTCCGAGCAGGTCTAGCATGCGTCCGGACTATGCCTGTCGTCGTGGCTTCGGATTGGACGTGTTACAAGAGATTCCTAGCCATCGTGGCACGGAAGCTAATATAGCAATAGTTAATGATTGGTCAAATAGGATGAAGCTGGAAGAGATGAAAACATGTGGGAACCCTACCATGTTCTATTCGAAGGGGACTGAGCCTCTCTGAATCCTTTCCGTTGATAAGAGCTCGATGATAGCGAAGTAGAAACACCTTGAGAGTCATTGGCCCAGCCAGTCGTGCTTCCTTAGTTTAAGGATGATGGGGAAGTGCAGCTCGGTCGTGGCGAGTGCCGTCTTGGCGTTTGTCCTATGACTAGAAAGACGCATCAGCAATCTCATCGGAGGGAAAAAGAGCACGACAATATGGAACTCAAACAAACAATATCCGCACCTTGATCCAAAATGTAGTCCCGGCCATGGTACTTGGCACAAACAACATACCAAGGTAACCAACAACATATTGAGCGACTCTTGATTGAAATTCTGCCTTTCTTTAGAGTGAGTCTTCAGCACAGGACAAATATGCTCAAGGTTGACGCAACGGGAAAATCGCGTTATCAGCTGTTACTATGCGCTGTAGCCGGGAAGGCCGAATGGCTGCCTAAAGATTTTCCCTAATCTATCATTGATCGTTAGTAGATAGCTTGTGAAGGCAACTTATAACTCACCGTGCTTGCAGATTTGATCATTTTTCCGAGGTCACTCAAGGTCCGTCAAGTGGCTCCTAGAGGAATAGAAGAGAAGGGCTGGTCTTGAGCATATTTTAGGTCAGCATGATTTCGAATGACCGAGCAGCCACACTCACTTGCTATTCGAAGATTCGGTTTTGAGATTGCACGCGTCGCCCAGATCGGCCACTCAGCTATCATACACTGAGATCCCCACTGGCCCAATGAGAAGAACTAGAAGCATTTCTCGATGGCCTGAGGAGGGCCCAAGTGGAGCAAGACGAGTTGGAAAAAGAGATGGAGAGCGACCGGCTCAATGAAGAGCTCAGCCTGCTCCATCAAAACCAAGCTTCGCAAAGAGACTTGCTTCAATCAGGTCGCACTCAGACTTTGTCACCGTCGATCTCTGCTGATCATAACTGCGGGCGTGGCGTTAGGATGGTTCTGGTTCCCGATGGAGGGAACGCCTACATAGCCACGGCGCTCACTAGCCAGGCTGCATTAGGTTAATAGAATCTTGAATTGAATTGAATTGAATTGAACTGAAATCCATGTAATTGCTGTGTATCCTCCCACGTATTTTGTGTGGAGCTACGTACTAGTAATTTACGCTAACCGTTCTTGCTCAATTCTTCTGTATTCTGCCATACATCCCGCCTATTCCTTCCGATACAAATACCTATCATTATCGCCCAAGCAAATGCCAGCTTATTTTACTTTCTTTTACAGCTGAAACTACCCTTCAACGTCACCGCAACCATGAATACCACTCCACAACTAATTCTCGATATTGAGGATGCTCTAGTGTCTGACGAGAACCCAGCCCGTGACAATGGCACTCTCGACTATGAACGCTGCGCCAGACTACACAATTACTTAGTCGCGTATGGTTGGATGGCTCGTAACGAGAGAGACACCCCCGACCTTGATACGCTAGCCAGTGAAAAGCATTTCTTCAATCAGCCAGAAGAGGATATAGCAGCCATTCGAACTCGCCTTATTACACCGCTTAACTCGTTCTTGGATTTAATCTATGATCCTCAACCTGGGCTCTTTTACTGGGTTGACTGTCTTGAGATGAGGCCCGGCGACGAGTATGTGTACGGTGACAACGAAATGGACGATGACAAAGAGCGATTTGTTATAATCTATGGCACCAACATGAGTATGGGCTCACATAATCTGGGTGTTCTTTATGACCAACAACGCAATCGGGCCTCATTCCCAATGACTATAGAGAATCTAGAAAGCGTGGAGCCTGTAGATGAGCATGAGGAGATGTGGTTTCCGCTAGAGACCATCCTAACCCACTGGATATATATGATTCGAATTGGGAAAATTGTCGCAGGACTTCCAGAACGACTTCCTTCAGGCGAACCCCCAACAAACCGATCACAATTTGGTCTATGGTCATGGCTTCCTTACTGCGAGTTCCAGGTCAATAGCACAGTAGCTGCGATAGAGCGCTACTCAGCTGCAGTTGAATCTCGCATGTCTCCTGACTCCCTTCTGCCGATTTCTGCGCCACTTTTTACTAGTGCAGAATTAGATGCGGCAGGTGTGCCGCAGGATTGCTTTATTCGCTCACTCTTAACACAGGTTAAGACTCCGCGTTTCAAGTTTATCGCTCCTGGGCTGGAGGTTCCGCATGATAAGGATGCGTTTGTGAGACGTCAGAGATTCACGAATATACCCCACGAAGAGGATAGTATTCCAGGGGTCTTGGTATTTGCAGCTCCAGACAGGCAGGTGGATATTCACGATGAAATCCATTACTTATTTTCCATCGCACATGACTACAATTTGGATATAGAAGATACCTCTATTCCAACTGGACTCTACAGTGAACCTGTTTGTCGGAGCACTTATGATGTGGAGGAGGCCGGTTTCCATATCGTGCTTCCATTTGAACTACGACCCGAGCCCTGGCAGGATGGGGCTCGAATGAGTGATGGGACACAAGTTACGGCGGGCTCATTTACGGAACTCTTTCAACATGGTTCCTTCCATCCATTTGGAGGCGAAGGCCGAGCGCAGAGATTGGATAGTCTGTTTGACCGGTGGACGGCGATGATTGAAAGTGGTATATGGACAGTGGGCGAAGATGGCGTGGAGGGAGGAATCGAAAAACTCAGAGAAGCAGATAGAGGTGACGGGACTGAATATTCGATCGCACCAAGCTGGTGAGCCAATCGTTAGTATTATAGGCTATTATTCAAGTTCAAAGAGCCTGTCTGTATTTAACACTTATGTCCTGTTTGTCCTTCTGCAGTGCTTGAGTAATCATACACATATTGCTGATCCGGTATGCATACTAATAGTATTGTACAGTCATAATAGGTAAAGGGGAAGCAGATAACTAGTAACCTGTGGAGGTAACAACCTGGTGCTAGCAGAGAATCAATGCTCTCTTACGAGGTGATTATTTCCATGTGAAGGTTTGATTACTAGGCAATGACTTAGATTTATGATCAATCAGCTTCCTGTACCACTTTGGCGAGGCCAAGGAAAGACGCCAGAAGGTTTGCACAGACAGAGAGCGTTTAGCTAGAACGTTTATCTAGAAACACATGGCAGTAAATTAACCTATATCTAGGTCCTTTAAGTTCAGATAGTTCCTCACCACACACATATTCTCTATGTGATCATCTCTCGCGCCATAATACTAAGAAATACAAGCGCCATTATAACAATTTGATCCAGAGCAATAGCCGCTTGTGCTGCCACAATATCCAGCCACAGAGCAACAATCACCAAACTGTGACCCAACACATGTCATGTTGTTTGCAAAGTTAGGGCCACACTCTCCATTGGTAGAGGGATATCCGGTGGTCAAACAAGCCCCGGAGTAACAGTTAGGAGGGCTACAGTAATCATCGGTGCTCCCGCAATACCCGTTCACTGAGCAACAGTCACCGAACTGTGTTCCAGTGCAGGTTTTATTGCCAGCGAACAGGGGTCCACATTCACCACTGATTGATGGACCTCCTTTATCAGTATCACAGTTTCCTGCGTAGCAATTTCCTGCGCCGCAGAATTTAGTTCCATTGCCACAGTATCCGTAAACTATTCGAGTAAAGGGGTTACTTAGTCAGCCATTATCATCGACCAGAGCGGTTTCTGGTTGAGCCCAGTAAGAGGAAAATGTAAATATAGAGAATGTTATACTTACTACTGCAGCAGTCACCAAACTCAGAGCCAGGGCAGGTCATATAGCTATTATTGGGCCCGCAAAGACCGTTTGTGCTAACAGTGCTATTATCAGCAGAGCCACAGTCATCTGTGCATTTTCCTCCAGACGAGCAGCAGATAAGGTAATATATGTGCGTTAGTCGAAGTCTCTTTTTTGGAATCCAGGGCTTTTGCCATTTCTGCAAAAGAAGGGGGACATGATGACACCTACTTTCCAAATGCACTATCAACGCAAGTAACACCCACCCCACATGCTCCATCAGTCGAGATAGTCGGCTCAGAGACTGGGGCTACACATATGTCATAGTCAAGCCAGAGATTGGAACAGTTGTCATCAACAAAGGTGTTTAGCGCTTGCAGCTGTGTGAGATCTAGTCCGAATTGTAGATTCAGTGTAGCACAGTCGTCACCCGAAACTACCTGGTAATACTTGCCGCAGCTTTCGGTGGTGCCGCTTTGTGTTGGATAGGCTGGTGTTGCGGTAGTATATTAGACGCCAGTGCCAGTGTGTGCTGTAATGGTGACTGATGGTGCTTTCCAGGTACCTCCAGGAGCTTGCATACAAACGCGCTGCCCAATGGAAACTCCATTGCAGCTTCCTTGAATGTTGGAGTTCCATGCCAGAAATTGGGACACAGAAATGTTGTTGGTGGTGTTCGAGGCACGCTCGGCGAGAGATGAACTAATGTTTAGCATCGAATATTAGCAAATACTGGTATCACTACTTTTTGACCATGCACTCCTAAATGCCATGGGGAATCTTGGGGGCAATAGAGTTATGATCAGAATTTATTTTATTACTGCGTTGGGTTTTGACTTCTAGACTGCTAATTCGTTGTGCTTTGTCTCCTATAGTTATACAGACTAGAATAACCATGTTTATACTACGATAGTGGAAGATTATAGGTTCTGTGCTCTTAACGATGATCTGTATGTTATCTAAAGAGCTCTGTAGAGTGTACAAAGCTTTGATATACTAACCCGGCTAATTTTACTATATAGGATGTTTCAGTGGCCAATGGATTAGCCACGATAGAGCTAGAAAATTAATCTAGGTCCCTATACAAATGCTGCCTATAGGCTAAGCTTGATTAATAGTGCTGGATATATGTGCCGAGATTTCCTAATTATAGCTGCTATGAACCAGAGCCTTTTAGTTGAGAGTGAAGAAGAGGATTCAACTAAGCTCATATGTAACGCCTTCTACGATGGCAATCCTACTCTTATAAAGGGAAGCGGGGAGTTCTTATTTGATGATCTTGATTTTGAAGATATGCTTGGTAATAAAATTGACGGCTGGGCCTGTAACGTGATCTACGCTGACGATAAAGATGGCCTGGTATAGATCATAGTGAACAAAGATGGCAGTTTAGAATATAATACGGGTCTCCCCGCCATCCTGATTACAAGCACTGAGACTTATGTGTCTACTGTAAAGGCTTAGATACCAGGCGGCCCTGTTGATGGTAAGCTTCCGGAGAGTACCTCTGCTGGCCATGATGTGTCAATGAGCCAGATCACGACAGCACCATATTCCGCTGATCTAGAATATTATTTGCGCCATACTTATCGTCACCACTACTGAAGATTATTTTGATCTAATACTCGCCGTCTGGGAAATTCGTTCAAATCATATTCATCGAATCACCTATATTTAATTTTGCTTTTAGTTCTTATCATTTAAAAAAGCCTAAGTATTTAGTTTGAATCTAAGCCGTACCATAAGAGGAAGGCCGTAGAGCTTTTACGGTTTTTACCTAGTCTAAATGATCAAAAAAGTCTAGCGAATCGTATGGGAGTACTACGCCAGTAACTCCTATAATTATCTATATGTTTAGTCATAGTGCAAGGTAACAGTTTAAAAGATTGCTTCTTTAGACTGCATAACCGTATACTCTATAACTTGGTGAAATATTCTTAAAAGACACTAGGGTCCTTAGCCTAAGCTTTATCTCTCTGATTGGCAGGCCCTCTCTGTAATAGTAGCCTGGTTGAGATAAATCAAGTGCATTAAGTACGTAATACTAAGTGTGAGGAGAGAAGAAACTATGGGAGGTGAGGCTTGTAGATAGGCTACAAGCCTGAGCTAGTCCTAAAAGAGAAGTAGGGTCTGGTTGTGAGTATTACAATATTAAAGATGTTGAAGGTATCACCAAAAACGAACTTAATAAACGTGCTTATGCCTACAAAAAGCTGTTTCTGTGGGAGGCCTATAAAATAATTGGGTACGTTATCACCGAGAGGGTTTTGTATTATAAGAGCATCTATCCAATATTTCAGTTGTCTATGACTAAGTTTTCGGTATTTCAATATAGTCAAATTGAGGGTTACGACAAACAAAGCTTATACTTCCTTTCCGCTTGAAGAACGACGGAACAGCAGTTGTCTCGGCCGGGCGAGATAATCGATATCTGATAACTATTGGCGGTTCGGAGACATCGAGAAATTATCCTTTGGATTATCCTGAGTTTATGCTAAGATTGGGAGGTAAAAACACGGCAGTCGTAGCTCATCCTGACATAACGGCACCAGATTCTGAGGATAATCTTGTAAGGGCAGAACAGGAGTTGACTGATAACAATCTCGATAGGCTAATTAAGATAAAAGAAGTCAACCCTTACATCAAGACAGGTAAAAGTACTCAAATTTATACTCAATTTATTAAGAAAGTCACGGAAAAAGTGGACGCGATCAGAAATGATACAGAGAAGTCTAGTATTGGGGATGTTTCTGAACGTCTTAGTCGCGCCGACACGATTAGTCAACAAATAATACTCCTCAGGAAAGCCTCGATAATTAACTGGCTAATCACGTATCTAACCAAAGACGATAGTTAGAATCTCCAAAACACTAAGGGCGGTACAACCCGTACCACTGTTGCGACCGTGGCCGACACAGAGACCAGAGTTCTAGGTGCAGCCAAGATATCCAAATACCAATTAATCGACTTTCCAGCAATGTTTGCCGATCTACTCAACACTCCGAAGATTCAAGGGAAGAATATTGAAAGTAGGGTTGATTTTCAGACCTAGGTGAGTTTCCCTTCTTTTAAGGTGTCATCTTATAAGCCCTAGAGGTACTAATTGTATGTTGATATATAGGCCAGTGAGCTTAGAGACGTTTTACCCAGTACCAAGGGTCCTTCAGTAAGCGACTTAAGTGTTAGTCATTGGTAAGAGATCGTCGCTTAGGAGGTTAAATCTTAGATAGATGAGTGTTGATCGTCGAGAGATTTGGCGTTTATACTTAGTGAACTAGGAAAGATATATAGTATAACGTCTCCTATTAGCTTTCAAGTTACACGATCTGTATTACTAAGTACCACATACATATATAAGATAGTCCTTATTCAGGACCCAAGAGATACAAATAAGTATAATTTAAAGCTATCTTGAATATTTTATTATATATTATCCAAAATCAGCAGTAATGGCCAGTATAGAATCTCCCCAGGGCCCTCCGAGAGTCTCTGGAAACCGCATTTTCTGTTCAGAGTCTGGGTAGGGCACCTATCGAGAGTAGCTATTTTCTAATTTTTTTTTTCTTAGAGGGATTTGATTTAGAGAAAACTTTGAAAGGATTCATAGTTAGAATGATATTAATAGTCTCGACGTACTTAACTTCCAAGGTTGTTTATAGTTAGTGTATAAGCTTATAAGTTTACAGTACAGTTACCGTCGTATATGGTGGGGCACCACTACAGGGGCAATTAAATATCAAAGCTGAGTGGAAAATAAGAAGAAAATAAATAAATAAAATAAAACAGAAAAAAAAAGAATTAATACCCAAAAATTACGGTACGATCTACTTCGCCTATAAATACTTGCTGGTTGAAGTATAATCCTGTCCTTCAAGAAGTTGACTTCTGTAACGAACCAGAGATATTGCCTGGTTATATGACCCTGTATCACATAACCTATGCCCTATTTATCTGTATAAGAATACTAGCGATAGCATCTCTCTTCTTCTTTTTCTCTAGCTTTCTTACTTTTTGTCTAATACTACATATATTCTGTCTGCACTGAGTCCTTACAACTTCCCCCTTTCTTTTCCTCAATATTAAACTTTATTTTCCCCACTTATCACTGCACGTAGTACCAGCGCCACTAGCACCACTACCTGTACTATTTCTGAATGGCAGCTACAGAAAAATCTGGTATTAGCCTTATAAGCCAATACAATATCGTTCTACCGAAAAGGCAGGCGTATGACTCTTCTGGCAAACCTATACCTGCATACGACCCCGATCAATATGCTGCGGCAATAAAGGGGGAGGATCTCCCCGTTGATCTAAGCCCGTTTTAGCATCAGAGAGCAGTTATCCGTAGGATTCATGATTTACTTCAATTTACAACAAGCCCGGTAATTCTTAAGCTATACTCCGGCGACGATAGTCAGGCCTATTAATTTTCCCGCACCCGTAATACTTACCTAATAATAAGTGATGTAATCCCCGATATACAAAAGCCTGCTACTCAGCCGTACTGTATCTGGTATCCCGACCTTATATCAGAAGAAACATATCGCAAAGTTACCCGTCGGTATCTTTCTATACAGTATTAAGTAGGCCGAGCGTATGCTGTAGTATACTATACAGATCTTTATAAAGAACTAGACCTTTTGCCTAATGTCTCTATTATAGAAGAATCCCGCAAAGTTAACAAAGACACCACAATCTACAAGATTATCATATCTGCCCCCCCAACAATATATTGTCATAGAAGATTTCTCTCGATCTGTTTATCTTGAAACCCCACGAACACCTACGTTTCTGAATGGAGATATAAAGCCCCGATAGGCTTTATTAGGCCTGAAGGGGCAGCAAGTTGACCCTGGTAAAAATTCACCAGAGACGACTGCTGATAATATTAACATTGAGGAAGATAGATTTATCGGCTTACAAGATATCAGCTTGAAGGATATCAGCGGAATAGAGGACTACGCTCAACTAGGCCCAGGCCAGTCCGATCAACTGTGGATGTCACTTCCGCCTGATCTTCTAAACCTTAAAAAGCGCCTTCAGACACAGATAGCCGTATAGGAGGGTAATTTAGATCGATACAGTCGACTAAAACACCTATATAGGCTGAGAACTAAACTTAAATATAATTATGTTCTTTGTAGCATTTATCACAGTACAACCTTCGCCAGATAGTAGGCCTATTAGCTAGAAACAAACCCTAGACAGACAATCCTCCTAGGTAAATTACTTAGCTAAGGTAATAAACAGGAGTACAGAGAGATTTACACTACGATTTATGCCCGTATAATAATAAACAATAATATCTCTAGTATCAACGATAACTCAGACTGCCTCCCGTAGGTTATATAGGGGCCCGTAAAGCCCTCTGAGAATACTTTAGCTAATCTAGTTCGAAAATATCCGTCCATAGGATATTAAGTTATAATTACTTATATAATATATAATTATAGCTTGATATTCTGAAGTTTAAAGCCCCCCCTATACCAGATCCTTATATATAGCTGCCAGGCAAAGTAAAAATCCATTCTACCTACAATACCTTGAGGAAATTATAAAGGAGCACGATATAACTCCCCCAGACTTTCACTACTTTAAGGACTTTAATTATACTACACCAGGCTTACAGACTGATATAGAGCCTAGAGATAATCTCACAGGTCCCACTGTCAGCTACTATAATATAGAGACGGGCTAGCAAACCCGGGAATAGTGGAGAGATATATATAGCTCTCAAATGAAACTGCACAGAATTTAAAAGATAAACTTAACGCACCCTACCCAGGTACGGATATTAGTCTTTTTTATAACGATAAAGAACTTTAATCTAAGCTTTCACACCGTATATAGCCTATAGATCGGTAGTATGCAGGTTTCAATATATTAAATACCATTAGTCCCTTTGATTTTCAAGTATTATCTGCTAAGTATTCGCTAGCTTAGTTACCAATGGCAATATCGCTCGTAGGTACTAAGACCAACCTTTATAATCTCAGATCAGTTCTAATCTTTCCTTTACATCGAGCACTTAAGTATAGTATAATAGCAGTTTTATAAATACACTCTAGAAGCACTGACATATTCTAACAATTATTATATAGGTAAACAAAAGCTCGCCAAGAAACTTACAGGTTTCTCAAATTTAATTGCCAGTACTGCGCCAAATCTAAGGAAACACCGGGGGTGTGTTTCTAGCGTTTTAGGGTATACTTTTAGCTATTCTTATCTGGGATCAGACCTAGGACTCTGGTGATACGGCTACAATTAATGCCTAACCCAAACAGCCAAGTATCTATACTATTGACACTATATCTTTCTATGCTTATTACATATAATAATAGAATTTCTATTATACTAAATTCTGT